CTCTGTGACCTAGCTTAGTGGGGGCGTGAGGCAGGGTAGAGAGATCCGGGGGGCTGTTTGCGGGGACAGTCTCAGTGGTCATCGGGGGTCATAACTGAAGCAATGCTGGCCGGCACTGGAGCAAGGTGGTGCAACTCTGTAACCTAGCCTGATGGGAGCATTAGTCCTGGAAGAGCTTCGGTTTGTGCTGAAAACAGCCATGCTGGTGGTGATCGCAGGTGGACTGAATAGGTTTCACCTATCTGATTCGTGGTTGGGAGGCTTGTCGACACACATTTTCTGAAGGTTTCTGAGTTTTCTTTTTTCTTCAATTGTTCTTAGCCGAAGCCAGGTAATGGCCCCGGTAGCTCTTTTTTGTATTCTGATAAGGGACGCTGGGCCCGGTTCCCAGCCGTGTTGCTCCCCACGAATAGATTGGAGCATTGTCTCAAAAAAAAAAAAAAGAAAAAAAAAGGCAAAAACAAATTGTGGTATTTGTAAGTTCTTTGATCATTGGGTTGCAGAGTATGGACACCCATTGAAAATCATTAGTGATAGAGACACGTGGTTCATCGGTGTGCACTGGCAACTGTTGATGAAAGTCTACGGGTCTAGACTAATCATTTCATCAGGAAGACAACCCAAGACTAGCAGACAGACAAAGCAGATGAACAAACTGCTACAGGAAGCGCTGCATGTACATTAGGCCAGATCAGTTAGACAGGGACAAGCATCTACGTAAGGTAGCTAGTGCCTATAACAACTCTGTGCATTGAGCAACTTGCCGGACACCGAATGAGTTGCACAAGGGGTGATGTCCCCAACGACCGATAGACTGCCTGAATCTGGATCAGATTCAGAGACTGCCACCTGGCAGCAGAGAATTTGCAGTTTACTATGAGACGGAGATACAAAAAGATGCTGAGAACATCCGGAAGGCCCAAAATCAAATGGTAGAACAGGCAAATAAGCACCATACACCGTCAACGTTGTTGTTGGAGATCTTGTCTGGGTTAAGTCAAAGGAGTTCATTCTGGAGGAGAACATTTCTCAGATGTCGTTACCTGTTTATAGAGGGCTGTGGGAGGTTCTAGATGTCATTGGTGATGCTATCAGTCTTCCATACCCGGTATTCCATGCATCTAAGCTGCTGCCTTATGTTACTAAAGACAGGTCTCCTTCACACAGACCCATGTTCCCTCCTGATAGGGATGGACGTTATGACATTGACCGCTTCATAGAAGAAGATGTATACGGAACGGGAAGAACGGTAGACCACAGCGGCAGTTTAAAGTCAGGTTCGCCTATCATGACCGATGGTACACTAAACATTAGTTGATGGAAACTGCACCTCATTTTGTATCTTACTATGAGCGTGCTAGGCGAGGGGATAGCCTTGTAGACAGGTGAAGATAGAATCTTTATCGGAGGACCTCGAAATTAGGCTGGCGGGAGTGAAAGGATTTCACATAGTCAGTCCCCAAAGGTCTCGGTCCCAATTAATTCGGTAGGCTACAGTACTGCCAGGGTAAGCCTCAGGTCTGTAGGATGAGGTCATAAGAAGGTAGCTACAGTACCTGCAAGCACATCAAGTCCCTAAAGTTTAATTTTGCAGCAGCCTCCCAACGAAAGTCGGGAGCTTTCCCGAAATGGCAAATGGAAAGGCAGAGGTGGCAGGACGCTGGTACCGATTGAAGCAGGCACGAACAGCCCACTGCAATTATATATTGTGGGCTACAGTGCCGAAAGGCTTTCGGTTGTTCATTTCACAGAATTGTGGAAGCGCTGCAAGAGCTTGTGCGATCAAGCGACCTGGTCAGCCATAGCCAGGCGAGAGGGGATAGGTTCCGCGTTGGCCATAGCCACCCAAGATCAGCAAGGCACACCGTAGTAGCGCTCAGGGTAGATCTAGGACGTTGAGAGACGAACCGGGAGTGAGGAACAGTGAGAGACGAACAGTGAGAGAGAGAGAGAGGGAGAGGGAGAGGGAGAGAGAGAGAGAGAGAAAGAGAGAGAGAGAGAGAGAGAGAAGAAAAATGCAGCCGAAGGAGGAGGAAGTTGGGTACATACCAGGGGCCTGTTACAGCGGTTGAAACCGCTTATTCTGGAACTTTTTCAATTGTATATTATACAAATAATATTGTACTTTCAGTGGAACTTCGAATTTGCACTGTTCATGGACATCACTCCAGCTTGTGCAACTTCCATCCGATTGCTCTCAATTTGCATGATGCATTCTGAGTTGAATCTTGCGAGGTTCATTGCATCAGAGGCTTCACAAAAGGATCATAGAGGAAATTGGTGTGTGTGTGTGTGTCGGTTGAATTCCTAGGTGATTCTAGACTCCAAGAAAAACGATAAAAACAAGAGGAGGAAGTCAGAGGGGGAGGGGGGAAGATTCATTGGAGAGTGAGAGAGGGATGGTATTTTCTCTCCTATGTTGTATCCTCTCCCCTTCTCTTTTCTTCTCACATCTCTTCTCGAGTTCTCGTCTAATATTGCTCCTCTCTCTCTCTCTCTCTCTCTCTCTCTCTCTCTCTCTCTCTCTCTCTCTCTCTCTCTCTCTCTTCTCTCTCTCTCTCTCTCTCTCTCTCTCTCTCTCTCTCTCTCTCTCTCTCTCTCTCTCTCTCTCTCTCTCTCTCTCTCTCTCTCTCTCTCTCTCTCTCTCTCTCTCGTGCGCGCGTCGTAGTCTTCTTTCTTCTACTCATCCTCCACATACTCGCCCAATGACTTTCTCATTCAAGTATAGACGTACTTCCATTCAAATATGTTCAGCAAAGTGTCAGTCTGAGTATGACCTTAGATAATCGTATGGTAATACTCAGGACTGTACGGAACTGAATGTGACTTCTGTTGCATATTGTAACGTGCAGACCAGAACAAGAATCGACCTCTCAATACAAAGTAGAAGATAACACAGCGGAAGACTGAGATACGAATGATCCGAACAATCAATATTGCAATGCAGCCCTGAACACACATCATCATCATCGTTATTTGGTGTGAAGGGGGTCTGGCGCTTCACACAAGAAGACTGCGCCAGCCCCAACCATACACAGACGAAGAAGGAGGGGTTAGACGAAAGAGGAGGGGAAGATGGGAATGTCGTCAACACCAAGTCTCGGTACAGGCCCAAATAGTCCCTCGTCGAAATGTCTGAATCCCAATGTCCAGTCTGGATCCAATGTTGTCAAGTCTCAAGTCACAACTCTTTCTCTCTCTGTCGTAGTCTGAGAAGTCAGGTGGCAAGAGGGTGAGAAGAGATGGTAGACTTAGAAGAGGAAGAAGAAGAACTCTCTCTCTCTCTGTGTCCAGTACTAACCTGTGAAGTTGGCGCCTTGATGCAGGTACCACGAAGATGGAGCTGGAGCGATGGCGCCACAGGTAAGTACCACTGGCCTCCGCCAGTGTCTCTCCCARCTCTACGATCTACCACCTACCAGCGCCMAGCGYTGAAGACTACTCTAGCTATGGGCGCCCAGCGCCGAAGACTACAGCTAGCGCTAATACTACTGCCTAGCGCYGAAGACTACTGCAGCGCTCCTCCTGAGTGCTGYGGCCGAATCCTGAAGACKACTCCTGCCTACTGACAACTACCTCCCCGTGAAGTGCCTGGGAAGTCCCTATGAACTACCCGGGTGCCTCCTGACTGCAGGCGAGCAGTCCAGGAGGCTGCTCTTGCCAATGCCGATCGGAGTCAGGGGTTGCTGCTGCAGCTCTTGCTCGAGCTCGTGAGGAACAGGCTATATCTGGCCTGTTCCGCATCCCTATTTGCGTGCCTGAGTCTTAGGGGCAGGTCGAAACAATGAGGGCCTGAAAATGGCCCTCCGTTTCAGGCAAGAAAGACTCTGGGTCTGAAAGACCCAAAAATAGGCTGAAACGGAGTAGGGCCTGCAGGCCCTCGTTTTTCAGCTTTCAGGCTGAAACGACCGGGGCCTGTAAGCCCTAAGTTTTAGGCTTTTAGGCTGAATGTCCGGGACGGGCCCCGCAGGGCCCGTGTGCTGGTCGTGAAGCTTCCTGAGCTAACCTCCGCTTTTCATAATGCGCGTAGATCAGCGGTGCGGATGCTTTCAAATCTGCGCCTGAAATCCACCGAGTGTCGTCGCGATCGCATGCTTTGAATGTGACTTTGTACTGCCGCGGTTTGCTGCCGTACTTGCGATCGGAGATGACGCGGTCAACTTCCTGACGACCATCCATAGAAGGAGGGTCCTGCGATCGTCGGCCCGGAAAGTCGTCGCTCTTGGCTGGCGTGTATGTTGCCAGCTTCGAGGCGTGGAAGACCGGATGGACCGTCAGATGCTGTGGAATGTTGATCACAAATGAAGGGCCATCGGGCTCATCGCCCGCGGCTGCTGTCACAGACCAAGGTCCAAACCACTTGGGAAGCAGTTTGCGTGAAACATCCTGTTCCAGTGCAAACTCTTCAGCGGAGACCCAAACCAGATCACCGGCGCGGATGGGACATGGTACGTGATGCCTGTTGGCTTGCTGCTGCATGCAGACTTGAGCTTTTTGCATATTTGCGCGGGCTTGAGTCAGCAATTCCCTGTACTTTCGGACGGAAGCGGGAGAGCAGGCAGCGTCCATGTCGGATGGTCGAGGGAGGAGAAGGTCAACGAAGATCCGGCCTTTCCGTCCACCGTGGTGCAACTCGAATGGAGTCACGCTGATCGCCGGATGCACCGAAGTGTTGTAGGCGAACTCGATGTCGGGGAGGCGGTCAACCCAATCTTTCTGGTCCGGACGGATGAGCGTAGGGAGCATCATTTGAGCGGTTTGATGTGACCGCTCCGTCTGCCGGTCTGTCTGTGGATGCCGAGCCGAACTTGGTTTCATTGTTGTGCCGGACTCCTGCATGAGAGCAGTCCAAAATGCCGACATGAAACGAGTGTCGCGGTCGCTGACAATGTCTTCTGGTACACCGTGGCCACAAATCCAACCAGTGTGYAGGAGGCGTGCCAGCTCGGGAGCCGTGGAGTAGCACTTGCAAGGGAGAAAACGCGCGTACTTACTCAATCGGTCCACAACTGTGAGGATGTCGTCGTGCCCGAGCCGGTCGCAAGGAAACGGACCGGTGACGTCCATGGCAATGGAGAGACCGGGTTCCCGTGGGATAGGCATCGGGTGTAACTCGCCGTAGGGATTGCGGTTGCGGGGCTTGCTGCGTCGGCAAACTTCGCAAGAGTCGCAATACCGAGTGACATCGGTAATGAGRTCGGGCCATCGGAATCGCTGTCGAAGCCGTGCAATAGTGCGGTTGACTCCGAAATGGCCGGCGAGTCGCGAGTCGTGGTACTCCCCGAGAAGGCGAGTCCGAAGACGACGGTCGCGTGGGACACACAATAAGTCCTTGCCTCTCGAGTGGAGGAGCAAGTATCCGTCGGCAATGCGATAGTGGCTGGCCGGCGGGTGATCCGAAGATAGTTGTGCGTACAGCGTGGCGAAGTCCGGATCAGACTCATATGCCCGGATGAAGTATCGCTGAAGCTCCTCATCGAATGCGAAGGCATGATGCGTCATAGCGCAAAGATCAGGTCTTCGCGAGAGTGCATCTGCTGCGCGATTGGAGAGGCCGGGAAGATGTTTCGGTGTGAAGTCAAATTGGTCGATGAAGTACATCCACCGTTCGATAGTGCTGCTCACCGTATCCTGCGTCTTGTAGTAGGTCAATGGATTGTTCTCCGTAACCCATGTGAACCTACGACGCCCAAGGAGGAAGTGCCGTCATCGCTTGAGAGCCATGACGAACGCGAGTAGTTCCTTCTTCCTTGCATCATCAAGCGAGTTGATGGGAGGCACTTTGTGGCTGAAATACTCCACAGGGTGCCAGTCGTCGCCGTCGTGCTGTTCCAAGACTGCCCCAATGCCATAGCCGGAAGCGTCCGTAGTCACTCTCGTCGGCAAGGTGGGGTCATAGATGCTGAGGACGGGTGCCATGAGCATGGCCGTCTTAAGTGCTTGGAATGACCGGCGTACGTCGTCATCGAATACGAATGGCACCTTTGGCGACTGTAACCTCGTCATAGGTGCAACAATCCTTGAGTATCCGGTGATGAATCGCTGATAGTAGCCCGCCAATCCCATGAATGAACGAACGTCCGTGGTGTTGGTGGGCTCAGGCCATACTCGTAGGGCCTCGATCTTGTCCGCGAGCGGACGGATGCCTTGCGGCGTCACATAATGCCCCAAGTACTCCAGCTCCTGTTGTGCGAATTCGCACTTGTCGCGGCTGGCCTTGTACTTGGCTTGTCGTAGCTGCTCCAAAACGGTGCGCAAGTGTTTCACATGCTCCTCCAAACTCCGGTTGTACACCAGGATGTCGTCGAGGTAGATAAGTACGTATCGATCCAGCATGTGTCGGAACTCCGTTGTCATAGCCGCTTGGAAAGTGGTCGGGGCATTCGTAAGGCCAAATGGCGTAACCAGCCATTCGAAATGCCCATATCGCATCTTAAACGCGGTCTTGTAACGGTCCTCCTTGCGAATCTCGAGTTGGTGATATCCTGACTTGAGATTGAGCTCGGAGAAGAACTTGGCGCCGCCCAGTCGCTCGAGAAGATCGTCGATGCGTGGGAGAGGGCCGGCGTTTCTGATCGTCTGTGCGTTGAGCTTGCGAAAATCGATGCACAACCGCAAATCCTTGTTCTTCTTCCGGACGAAGAGAACAGGAGCATCGTATGGCGATGAGCTAGGCCGAATCCAACCTTTCTCCAGAAGGTCGACGAGTTGTGCCCGAAGCACACTCTTCCTCGCTCATTCGGTAGATGCAACCGCGCGGAGGTACGGCCCCGTCCTCGAGGATGATCTCGTGGCGGATGGGTCGATCCGGTACTACTCC